CAGATGGGGAGTTTTCTGTCTAACAGTGATGCACATGTGGACTGACTGTATTCGTCAGGGGAGAGCATGAACTGAACCATGAGCCTCGTACCGTGATGGTTCAGGATGAAAACAAGTACCAATACGCCTCCAATACATACATACATATATACATATATATTACACAAACTATATATATATATAGCGGTATATGTATTTATACATAAACTGACCTGAGCGCAGTATATATGTATGTATATATGAACTGACCTGAGCACAGTACACATATACATATAAAGTGACCTGAGCGCAGTATACACATATATATGAACTGACCTGAGCGCAGTATACATACATATACATATGAAGTGACCTGAGCGCAGTATACACATATATATGAACTGACCTGAGCGCAGTATACACATATATATGAACTGACCTGAGCGCAGTATACACATATATATGAACTGACCTGAGCGCAGTATACACATATATATGAACTGACCTGAGCGCAGTATACACATATATATGAACTGACCTGAGCGCAGTATATATGCATGTATATATGAACTGACCTGAACGCAGTATACTCATATATATGAACTGACCTGAGCGCAGTATACTCATATATATGAACTGACCTGAGCGCAGTATACTCATATATATAAACTGACCTGAGCGCAATATACACATATATATGAACTGACCTGAGCGCAGTATACACATATATATATGAACTGACCTGAGCGCAGTATACACATATATATGAACTGACCTGAGCGCAGTATACACATATATATGAACTGACCTGAGCGCAGTATACACATATATATGAACTGAACTGAGGGCAGTATACTCATATATATGAACTGACCTGAGCGCAGTATACACATATATATGAACTGACCTGAGCGCAGTATACTCATATATATGAACTGACCTGAGCGCAGTATATATGTATGTATATATGAACTGACCTGAGCACAGTATACACATATATATGAACTGACCTGAACGCAGTATACTCATATATATGAACTGACCTGAGCGCAGTATACACATATATATGAACTGACCTGAGCGCAGTATACTCATATATATGAACTGACCTGAGCGCAGTATACTCATATATATAAACTGACCTGAGCGCAATATACACATATATATGAACTGACCTGAGCGCAGTGTACACATATATATATGAACTGACCTGAGCGCAGTATACACATATATATGAACTGACCTGAGCGCAGTATACACATATATATGAACTGACCTGAGCGCAGTATACACATATATATGAACTGAACTGAGGGCAGTATACTCATATATATGAACTGACCTGAGCGCAGTATACACATATATATGAACTGACCTGAGCGCAATATACACATATATATGAACTGACCTGAGCGCAGTATACACATATATATGAACTGACCTGAGCGCAGTATACTCATATATATGAACTGACCTGAGCGCAATATATATGTATGTATATATGAACTGACCTGAGCACAGTATACACATATATATGAACTGACCTGAGCACAGTATACTCATATATATGAAC